AGGCTATCATGTGCGAAGCGGCTTAATCAAAATGGCAGGAGTTGTGTGAGAATTATCATTACCAGTAATTAATGTGTCAGCTAGACGTATTCATCATAGAATATAGAAGCTTAAGATACTATCATTAGTTTCTCATAAAGATTAATCAGTTCCATGTTTTGGGATCATATACATCCAGTAGAGCCTTCATGTCAGGTCACTATACCAGGTGATGGTGGCAGTAGGTGTGTCAGCCAATCAGATGCCAGCAGACTAATTCATGTACAGTGATACTGCCAGCTCTCCCACAGTGGTGCTGAGGGGAATGTGACTCAGCACAACTTGTGGACAGTCTACATACAGTGTTTGTCTAGGAGATGCAGATACCCCAAAAGCAGGGTGTCTTTCATAGGTTTCAGATATTTGATAGTTTTAGGAGAAAATCTTTCATGTGACATAATGCCATGTATGTTTATTCAGTCTCTGCCAAGAACTTTTGGGTCTAATAGCCCAACCTTGGCTCTCAGCATCATTTTAAGTACAGACCGAACTGAATTTTTTAAGACTTGGGCTTCTGACTAGTTGTTAAAGTCACAGACTGTTTATTGTTTTTGATATAAGATACATTTCCCAAGTGACACTTTAAGAAAGTATTTATGGTGTACAATCACTTTACAGTTTGTTCTTCTGAATTATCAATCTCAAAAGAAAATCGTTAACGGGCAGAAGTGGCCCTGTGGTGCCAAAAATCACGATGTAGAGTTGTGTCCCTTGGCTGTCGGAACCTGCGGGTTTGAACCCCTGTAGTGTGATCCTTGGAGCATCACCACCATACCCAAGTTTATCACAAGTTTCAGACCGGTGAAGATCAGGGGGAGAATAGGTCTTCAGCAACCCATGCTTGCCGTAAAAGGTGACCATGCTTGCTGTAAGAGGCGACTAATGGGATCGGGTGGTCAGGCTTGCTGACTTGGTTGATGCATGTCATTGATCCCAGTTGCGTGGATCGATGCTCATATTAATCACTGGATTGTCTAGTCCAGACTTGATTATTTACAGACCGCCGTCATATAGCTGGAATATTGCTGAGTGCGGCGTTAAACAACAAACCATCCAACCAACACTAGTTTTCATCATCAGTTTAATTCAGTACTTAAAAGGCCACAGGCCTATAGTACAATGCGTATTTACATGTAGGTGACGTGGTTGTTAACTAACAATTCTGTTTCTATGTGACATCGCGTGATAAACATATGTTGACAGGTTACATAACATAGTATCATTAGATGAAGTTAAAAGATCTACAAACTTATGGACATACACAATGTGCATATTCTGTCTCTTCTATCAGTGTGATTATATCTACCAGTCTCTATATACAGGTTGTGAGAGGAACATCAAATCGTGCTAGTGCAATTCTAAATTTTTTAAACTCAACTTTACAGAGGTACGCCTCAATTTCAATATTACTTTTCATGATTCTATAATATAAACATTTATTTGATTTGGACATTAATTCTAACCATTTCTGCAAATACATATCTTTTAGTCTCTGGGTGAAGGACATTAAAAAGAGTGGTTCTGATTCTACACACTGATTATACCACACATAATTAAAACCTGTGATAAATAATAATTCTTTTACGTTTGTTACCCAATTTCGTTTTCCAGTACTGTCGTAGAGTTTTAACAATCTTCCTAAAACACAAGTTTTCACTATATATGTATGCTACTCAAAAGAAGTTAAGGATCACCTGATTCTTTAATATTACAATAGTTAATCTCTCATGCCATGACAGATTAACATTACCAATATGAAAGAATCGGGTGATCCTTAACTTCGTTTGAGTAGTATATATATTTTGCTATATCAGTGTCGGCTTTTCTCCCACATTAACCTGACATGCTATGGTATAACTGAAATACATGTAAGAAATTGCGACAGTAGATAAAAGAACAAATCCTTATGCAGGTTCCATGAAAACTGCACCCAGAGTTATTTTCTTAAATTAAACAGATGCTCCTACATTCAATGGACTATTATGTTTTCTTGTGTTTGATAGTTACCCATTCATTTCCACTGGCCTTGAAACCTTGATAATGCTGTCTAAGACACTCCTTACTTCACATCGTGATGGAGACAATCCTTGCTTCAGACTACGAAATTAGTTCTGTCCGTGCACGTAACGGTATGCATCATCACTGAAGGACAGGGGCTGTATTGTTAAACCAGGGTTTGTTTTCGGCATCATTGCATCCTCACAAATCAAAATGCCATCTGAAAATTCAAGATACATTTACATGGAATATGTAGACAATGTTAGTTCTTGACGTAACTGTCAATATAGTAATCTACATTATGCAGTGACAGAGGAGGTGGGCTTACGCTAAGCCATCCTGTCAGTGTAAGTGGGTGAGCTGTCCGGGCCATCAATCACCTGCCCGGGACCCCCCCCCTCAAGTGTTGCCCTGACCCCCTACAGCATGAGCTGACCCCAACACAGCTTTAGGGAACAACAATGGGCTGTTTCATACATGATTCCAATTCAAGTTTGATCAATTGTAATGTCAGTTTTAACTAAGACACATTTAAGTCAAACAATGAACCATTTTCCTTTATAATTCGTACTTTAAAGTAATGTTAATACAGCTTGGGAAAATAATGACCTCTGTCGGAGTCTGGGTTAGAATTGGCCCCAAGGAAGCCATGCTGGTCGTAAGAGGTGATTTTATAGATCGGGTGGTCAGACTTGGTGGCTTGGGTGATGGCGTGTTGTAGTACCCCAAGGCGTGGATTATCCCTCACAATATCAGTCATTGGATTGTCTGGTCCAAAGCCGCCATCATATAGTTAGAATATTGCTGAGTGTGGCGTTAAACAACATACACACACACACACACATACGAAAAGTAGTGAAAATGGGAAAATTTTCAGTTTACTACAATTGAAAACTGCTTTGTGTTCCAGCTTCTCAGAACAAGGGAAGCATCTTAATACAAAATTTCACTTGCCAATATTGCATATGTAGAGGATGTTATATTTGTGTTCATGTACTATGTTAAGACACTTGTGTCGTAAACATAGTATGACATGAACACGAATATAATGTTCTATTTATTACTGAAGAAGATGTCTACATACAGATACAAATTTTAGTGTTTACCTATCAGGACAGCAGGTTGCAACAGCAGTGGAACCACAATTTGTCAAATGACGTCAACAGTCGTCAGCTATGACATCGTTTCTAGTGTGACGTCATTCCGACCTCATGTCACGATGAGATTCGAATGATGTCAACAATACCGTCCGGATGCGGAAACAATACGCTGTTGTCTCGTCAAGTGATATGACCCTAGGGCACATATGATTTTTATGAACCCCAATATGTTTGTAATGTGATATTCGTAGGTACGGTAATAAAAATATTTCAAGTTCATAAAAATCGTATGTTCACTACTGCAAAATCAGTTGACAGACACAAGTGAACTGTTGATGGTCGAGGGATGTCACACTAAATACAATGTCATTGCTGAAGATTGTTGATGTCATTCGACAATTGTGGTTCTCTGAGCTGGTGGTCATGATCAGTGCATTTTTCTGAAAGGGGTCTCAAAAGAATTAGTAAATACTGGGTACCAGGTAATAAAGAAATTATTACACTCACGTATGTGTCATACTGATTTTACAAGAATTCTGACACTTGTTCCGTAAATTCAGTATGACACACATGCTCGTATAATGGTCTCTATAACCACGGACTTGTATAGGTTATATAGGTCCGTGCTATAACTCATCACCTATACTTTTCCTCACAGTTAAAACTCTGTTCACATTGTTGTCTAAAACTGTTTGAAGTCATATGAAGAAAGCTCCCTACTCTACACAGCATGACATGAGGCCTATCTGATACGAAATGGTGTCATCAAAGCTTTGTGTTTCTGTGCACACTGACAAAAGCATCCTAAAGAATGTCAGCCATGCTGTCCCTCCCACACCTGTTGTGCTGTTGTGATGCTGTGTTGTACAAGCCACAGACAGGGCTGTGCAGCATCCCAATAAACCACCTCATTCACAACTGGTGGCAGCGGTTCAATTGTTCCAGGTCAGAGGTCACACATTGAAATCATTGAAATTGACCTGCAGTCATAATGAGGTTTCCTGTGATCCTGTTACAGGTGTAATCGCTGATTCTGTGACTTCCTTGGAAGGAGAATGAGATGACACACTGACTTTTACTTGTTGGTCGGAAGAGAAGTGTCAAGCCATTAAACACCATTTAGATAGTAACTGTGGGAAACTCGACACCGTTAGGTGGGGTGGTGATAACTGCAATAATTATACATTGCAAGGAATGAGAGATACCACATAGAAACAGACTCAATTCACTTGGAGGAGACCAGTTAAAACCAAACTAAGCATGACATTCCTTGACAGATGTAATCATGGTCTAACACATTCCCGACATGAAGAGTCGGTTTTAATTGGGCTAAAACAACACAAAAACAATCTTTTATATAATTAAGGCAAACAGGAAACATCTCTGTATTTTTGTGTGGAATGTGCTAAACTCTGGCGGCAAATCCTTTAAAGATGTTGGCTTGGCTGTACAAAGGGGTTTTTGATTGGCTCATACTGGGTCTTACTGAAAAAACAAATTTGCAATCATCATTTATCTGTGATAATCTTCTCTTTTTCTCGTACTTCCCAACTTGACAGACATTCTTGACTCATAATGATGGACATTCTGGGTAGGACTTTTTCGAATTTGTATGCAAGAGCTTTCTAGCGTTCAGAATGAAAAGGGTAATCGGTCGGCAACAATTTTATGCATGAAGTTCTTTTCAGTTCTCCATGTACATTAATTTTAACAGACATTATTGTATTTGAAAATATTATGAATATTGTCACGTTGACAACTTGTATTTCAAAGATTTGGGTTCACAAGATATTTTATTTCTTGGGTAAAGTTGACATTGCTTCCTTGCTTGCCTGCAATATGTTTTCTATTATTCTTTTGCAGGGGAGACCAATCTCACCACTGCCAGTGCAGTGTTCAGCCACACGGTATGGGTGCTGTCCTGATGGTGTGACTGCTGCACAGGGGCCCAAGTACCGCAACTGTCCTGTTGCCAGGAAAACGGGTACGTAGATCCTTGCTCTGTTACCAGGAAGAGTGGTAGATCCTTGTCCTGTTGCCATGACAACAGGTACATAGATCCTTGCCCTGTTGCCAGGACAACAGGTACGTTGATCCTTGCCCTGTTGCCAGGACAACAGGTATGTAGATCCCTGCCCTGTTGCCAGGACAACAGGTACGTTGATCCTTGCCCTGTTGCCAGGACAACAGGTACGTAGATCCTTGGCCTGTTGCCAGGACAACAGGTATGTAGATCTTTGGCATGTTGCCAGGACAACAGGTATGTAGATCCTTGCCCTGTTGCCAGGACAACAGGTATGTAGATCCTTGGGCTGTTGCCAGGACAACAGGTACGTAGATCCTTGTCCAGTTGCCAAGACAACAGGTACGTAGATCCTAACACAAATTAGTAAGAAAACTATTTTCTTCCTTTAACCAGATGCAAGCATCATTCTTTAGTCCTTAATGTCTGTGACTAAGTCCATGTTGCAAATTTAGTTATAGTAATAATATTTTATGTCACATTGATAAAGCAATGAAACATGTATATTTTCGTCCTTCTCAACCAGCACGTACTTAGTTAATTACTTGAATCCCAGCACGCATGAAATGAGGGGGACACATGCAATCTGCTACAGTCTCCATTCAGCCAAAGAATCTCAGTGCCCCGAAATACTGCCCTGTCATGCATGTTGGCAGAGGAATTACATGTCAACCCAACCCTACCAGTAAACAAAGAATACATGGGCCTCTAGTGTAAATTGCAATCTTCTATGATTGACTTCATTTCTTTAAGACGGTTGTGTTTGCCCTTGCCTGTACAATCTAATTGTGGCGGAGGGATGCTGGCACTAGTGTATATGGTGCTGGGTGTACATGATGTATATATCTCACCATGTGGGGGGATCAGTTGCAGCCAGACTGGACTTCATTTCCTCAGCCTAAGTGATGTATTCCTGCAGATGGATAGTAGACTTCATTGATGTCAGATTTCATGTTCACACAAAATTTAATAAACATGTAAGGGGATAAGCAGACGTATTGACATTATTTTATGAACTGTCTTCCGAATGCAGTTTCTGAAACCTTTGAGCTGCCTGACACTTGTGTGATCTTAAAGAAAAACTTAATTTCATGTGGGAAATGTAAACAAACTGACATGAATTATTGAGGAACATTCTGTAGCTGGAGGCGGATACAGTTCTGATATCAAGGGGGGCATGGGTGGCCCAGTAATCTCAGCGTCTGCAATTCGCTGTGTAGAAAGCTGCAATTGTGGGCTCGAATCTTGGTTCCACCAGATGTTTCTAGGTTTGTCAGCACCATGCCCGTTCTTGTGGGTATTACTTATATGGTAAACGTCTGAGACCTGCATCACTTCGGGCTTTCCTTCCACATTAATTGACATGCCGTGATATAACTGGAATACTGTTAAAAGCGGCGTTAAACCCAACTCACTCACTCACTCACTCTGATATCAAGAGGTATAAGATGCTCCATGTGCAAGGTCATCTGCTATGCACTGGAAATTTAATGTTTACTAGAATTCTTGAAACGAGTGATAAAATGCATGTTTCAAATAAAAAACTCTATCCCCCTTGAATGTTATTTGTAGCATTTTATTTCATCATTAAGAAACATAAGTATATTTTTCATGCCAAAAATTCCTAATAGTCATGATATCCTTAAAACTAATAGAAATTTGGCTGTAATTTGGCAGTAATTCCTATACATGAAATCAATTTGAATGTGACTAATTTGACACATTTGACAATCTTGTTTAGAATCTTATTATCTCTCCCATGAGCTTGTTCATATTGTTAAACAAATTATGTGTAGCAATTAAGTTGGGAATCAGGTATTGGCCGTGTGTATCACAGACATAATGTACAAGGCTTGTTGGGTCACTGACTTCACGCCTCTCTCACAAGTCAGGTATTGGCCGTGTGTATCACAGACATAATGTACAAGGCTTGTTGGGTCACTGACTTCACGCCTCTCTCACAAGTCAGGTATTGGCCGTGTGTATCACAGACATAATGTACAAGGCTTGTTGGGTCACTGACTTCACGCCCCTCTCACAAGTCAGGTATTGGCCGTGTGTATCACAGACATAATGTACAAGGCTTGTTGGGTCACTGACTTCACGCCTCTCTCACAAGTCAGGTATTGGCCGTGTGTATCACAGACATAATGTACAAGGCTTGTTGGGTCACTGACTTCACTCCCCTCTCACAAGTCAGGTATTGGCCGTGTGTATCACAGACATAATGTACAAGGCTTGTTGGGTCACTGACTTCACGCCCCTCTCACAAGTCAGGTATTGGCCGTGTGTATCACAGACATAATGTACAAGGCTTGTTGGGTCACTGACTTCACGCCTCTCTCACAAGTCAGGTATTGGCCGTGTGTATCACAGACATAATGTACAAGGCTTGTTGGGTCACTGACTTCACGCCCCTCTCACAAGTCAGGTATTGGCCGTGTGTATCACAGACATAATGTACAAGGCTTGTTGGGTCACTGACTTCACGCCCCTCTCACAAGTCAGGTATTGGCCGTGTGTATCACAGACATAATGTACAAGGCTTGTTGGGTCACTGACTTCACGCCTCTCTCACAAGTCAGGTATTGGCCGTGTGTATCACAGACATAATGTACAAGGCTTGTTGGGTCACTGACTTCACGCCTCTCTCACAAGTCAGGTATTGGCCGTGTGTATCACAGACATAATGTACAAGGCTTGTTGGGTCACTGACTTCACGCCCCTCTCACAAGTCAGGTATTGGCCGTGTGTATCACAGACATAATGTACAAGGCTTGTTGGGTCACTGACTTCACGCCCCTCTCACAAGTCAGGTATTGGCCGTGTGTATCACAGACATAATGTACAAGGCTTGTTGGGTCACTGACTTCACGCCTCTCTCACAAGTCAGGTATTGGCCGTGTGTATCACAGACATAATGTACAAGGCTTGTTGGGTCACTGACTTCACGCCCCTCTCACAAGTCAGGTATTGGCCGTGTGTATCACAGACATAATGTACAAGGCTTGTTGGGTCACTGACTTCACGCCCCTCTCACAAGTCAGGTATTGGCCGTGTGTATCACAGACATAATGTACAAGGCTTGTTGGGTCACTGACTTCACGCCCCTCTCACAAGTCAGGTATTGGCCGTGTGTATCACAGACATAATGTACAAGGCTTGTTGGGTCACTGACTTCACGCCCCTCTCACAAGTCAGGTATTGGCCGTGTGTATCACAGACATAATGTACAAGGCTTGTTTGGACACTGACTTCATGCCCCTCTCACAAGTCAGGTATTGGCCGTGTGTATCACAGACATAATGTACAAGGCTTGTTGGGTCACTGACTTCACGCCTCTCTCACAAGTCAGGTATTGGCCGTGTGTATCACAGACATAATGTACAAGGCTTGTTGGGTCACTGACTTCACTCCTCTCTCACAAGTCAGGTATTTGCTTGTTGAGCCTCTGCTGTTATGTGACACCCTGGGACATTCATGTTTTTCTTGGGCGGTTGGGTAGCCTTGTGGTTAAAGCGTTCATTGGTCACGCTGAAGACCCGGGTTCGATTCCCAACATGGGTACATTGTGTGAAGCACATTTCTGATGATATTGCTGGAATATTGCTGAAAGCAGCGTTAATCCATACTCATTCACTGTTTTGTTTCTCTTTCTGAGTCTGAGGCAGTTAAACCTCATTCTTATGAAAGGAGATAGGAAGAACCAAGTTTTCTACAGACAAATTAAGGTCCCAGAAAGTGACAATAAAAAATAATTTTTAGTCATTACAATGGATGGACGAATTCATGTTGCTTCTCTTTAACTGGGGCGGTCAGGTAGCCTGGCCTGGTGGTTAAAGCGTTCGCTCGTCACGCTGAAGACCCGGGTTCGATTCCCGACATAGGTACAATCTGTGAAGCCCATTTCTGGTGTACCCCGCCGTGATATTGTTGGAATATTGCTAAAAGCGGCTTAAAATCAAACTCACTCACTCACTCACTTTAACCCTTGGTTGTGTATGGTGTCGAACACAGCATGATACTTCGTATCAGTAATGTCAAGCAGTTACGCTTCAATGTTAAAACATGTTCTGTCTTTGCACTGGATAAAGTTGTTTTCTGAGAATTTTGATGTTGGTTTTCATGGAAAATGTTTCAAGGGCAACACTGTCACGCTACAGATCTGAGTCACAGGCTCAGATCAAATATCTAAACAAATTTAAAACTATTTCAGAATCATTCCCCAAAGAATTTCATTTAAATGTGTTTTGTTGAAATTAAGGGACAAATATTTCTTTCTAGAGGGTAACATCTTCTGCATAGAATATGACATGGCATGGAAATCCCTTTCATGAGACAAGGTCTTAACAGTGTTATGTGGTAAACTGTAAGCAAACATATTCAGGATCACATTTCAGGTCAGAAATGTTATTTGCAAAAAGGCTGATCACCCATTGTTTGTGTAACAATGGAGAAGAAACAAGGCTCTCTATCACTATGGAGGTGAGAAACTATATGACCCCAAAGACAAGTTTTAAATCAATGACCCCATCCCCCATCACATCTCCCAGTCAGTGTGGGTGTTGGGAGAGAGATAGAGCTGCTGCCCATTCACTGTGCGTCCCCTGTCACATACCTAGCTCTACCTGCTCACTTTGATACCACCGGCTCACTCTCATTCCTTCCCCTTAAAATAGCACAACAAGTTTATAGGTTTGTTATTAGCCTGGGAGTTGACAAACACTTGTCAAAATGCAATTCCTCAAAGTGAGAACTGAAATAGATTTGATAAAAAGACAAGAGCACAGATAATCAGATTTCTTGAATGGAGGGAGCCGGTCATATCTTTAACCTACAATGACACTGTGACGACTAGGCTGAACTTGGATTGTCATTAATCAGCAGACATCACAGCATCTCCGTGATTTACCCCCAGCTGATGGGTCCGTGAATGACGTTAAGAGAAATCAGATTAAGTTGATTAAAGCATGTCTCATCGATGTCTCTAGTCTCGTGAAATGCGTGTTCTCAAGTGATAAATAATGTCTTCTGAAAATACATCATGTTGTATTATTGCTCACTGAAACTATGAAATTGAAATCTGTTGACCAGTTTAGAAAACACGGATATGGAATTGTTTGTAAATTATGACGAACAAATACAAACATATTCCTATCCAAAATAAATTAGGAGGCATATCGTGAGTGTTGTTATTGATCTGGCTTTAATCATGTTATTCTGACATTGCTGTTTCCCACACATGCAGTTTGACAAAGTACAAAGCACTAAGGTAGGGTAACCTAACACAATGATTGTGTAGGAAATGAGACGTAACACGTCTGTTTCATGTGTGGAGAGTTTTCTGCAAGGTTTGTCAATCGTTTAGCCAGATGACATGGGCGGTATAAATCATCTGCTGAGCCTGCAACAGCACACAAGTGTACATTCAGCACTCGCTCCACTGCAGCGGGCTGTGGTTGGATGGCAAGCAGAGATATCACTGAAAACTTCTCAAAACTAAATTGCTAAACGAAACAAAATATAAATTGGATTTGAGCCAAAAACTACAAACATTATCAAAATGTTACAAGGCTGAAAGAAATCGAACATAAATGTCCCAAACACAACTAAACACTTTTATCATTTAACTAAAGCATTTATCCATGACATAAGCTTATGACATAAAAATATGTATGTCATACCCCAATGACATAAGTATGCAAATGAGATATGCAAATTAGATAACCGAAAGAGCGAGCAGTTTGATTTGAAACTATATATTATAAGTGAAGTTACACCAGAGATATAATCAGATTACACAGAATCGTTGTTGTTACCGTTATTAAAGTTTCAATTATTCTGCAAAAGTCTGTTCAAGTATTTTGTTTAAAATAATCCGAGGAACATTTTTTCTCAGCGAATTGTTTATTTTGGTTTACATGGCTATGGAAAACATGTATCACTACGCACGATCTATACGTAAGATTTCGACAAGTTGCTGATGTTAATGTTTAATGCAATTATTCCTTAATTTGGAAGCAAAAATGTGAAAATGATAAATAGAATTCATCACTCGTGTTTTTTAATATGGGAAATATCAACCTCGTCCCGTTAATCGGTATTTACCTCGCCAAAGGCTCGGCAAATACCGATTAACTAAGACTCGGTTGATATTTCCCATATTAAAAAACACTCGTGATGAATCCTCTATGTATGAAATACATCACCATCAAATGACCATTTTTTGTTTGTTTCATTTTTAGTCACCATCCATCATAGGTGTTTACTTTCTTTTGTCGGGGCATTTAAACTCAAATGGACCATTGAGTAAAGTTAAGTCATACACAAGGTAGACACAATTCCATAACAACTTCTTTAATACTGTAAAAAGCGACGTTTCGATATAGATCCTTATAACGTTGTCAAGCAAGACAACAGTATAAGGATCCATACCGAAAGCAAGACTTGCTTGACAACGGTGTAAGGATCTATACCGAAACGTCGCTTTTTACAGTATTAAAGAAGTTGTTATCCATAAAATTGTGTCTACCTTGTCATCCGTCAACTTCTAAGTAATGCCTATCAAACAATTTAAGTCATAGGCGTTCTGTATGAATGAACACCAAGCCCCTTGAATGAATAAAAGATGAAAATATCACAAAACATTAGAAAGTAAAATGAATACTATAGCTCTTGACAATAACTCGTCCTTTAAACTGTTGTAATAATCTCAACAATTTGAAGAATTTCATGACAATCAGGGTTTTTATACAACAACGACTTTTGGGGCTAATGAATATTAATTGATAGTGAAAGGGTATTTACTGGGGATTTTATATCAAAATAATGGCATTCTTTGTGTAATTAACATCTATTTGAGTGTAATGTAAGCAGAAAGGCATGAAATAAACTGAACTTTGAGTTCATTAGTACTTAAGGATGTGTGGGACTTTGACTTGAGATAACCCGTGGTTTATCCGACCATACAAATACCAAGGATTGTGAGTTTCATTACGAGTGGACTCCCTGATCAGTGGTCAGTCAAGAGATGACCGGGATCAACAGGGTGGTCAAACTTCACCAGGAATAAATCTGCAATTGTCAAATGACAAGCAAGCAAGTTGAGGGACATTTCTTTTGTAATGCAATAAAAGGGCGTGGGACAACTGTCTGGTCTGACAATGGACTAAGTAGCAGAGGTGATTTTCAAGAGAGGGGCTAGTTACAATAACTGGTCAGAATCTGCTAAATTAGAGTGGGAGCTGTAGTGGTGACTTTCACTGGTCACTCGGTCATATCAAATAGCATTCAAGCTAGCATTGCCCCCTTAGCAAAGCCCCTTCAGCCAGGCGTATGAGAAGGGCTTGATAATCGTGGAGAACCTACCTACCTATCCCAGGCTGACTGTGTTGACTGGGGCCGTCTGCCTGCTTGTGTGCCTGCTCACCGACACCAACAGACACTAGCAGCCAGCACACTCTCAACAAGTGGCTCTACTCTTGCTGGGATACCCTTGTCTCTTGGGAACTTCTAGGCATTCTTTTTCATCCTCCGTTTTACCTGTGTCCTGCATACATGGCAATCTGGTCATAGCTTAATTGTTTTACTGGGATAATTTGAACAAGCTGCATGTGGATGTTATTAGGATGACTGGAGTACCTTCTTAAAGACACAAGCTTTTCTTCACTTGGCGTAAGGTGCAATAATTGAGGATGGCAGAAGCTTTAATGCCAATGGTAGTGTCGCTCGCATCGTGTCGCCTGGCAGCAGACGCGGGACCATGTGACGCATTTGCCGTCAAGTGGTTCTATGATGTCCGACTGGTCAGTTGTCGTCGATTCTGGTACGGTGGATGCGAAGGAAACGATAATCGCTTTGAAACCAGGATTCAGTGTGCTAAAAGTTGTGAAATGGTGAGAGAAAAAGTTGAATTTGATGATAAAAAATATAATTCTGAAATTACAGATCGATGTAAACTGGAACGATCCCGAGGACCGTGTGCAAATTACACATTAAAGTGGTACTATGATGACCAGGCTAGCATGTGTAATATGTTTTGGTACGGAGGATGTGGAGGAAATGATAACCGATTCGAAAAGGAGGATGAATGTGAATCGACATGTGTAACCAATGATGGCACAGGTAAGTCACACACTTGCATTACTTTCATCCCTTATTTACAATGTTTCAAGTTGTTATCTACTGATGTATTACACGATTAATATACATTTTATTCTGTTATCTATCAATTTCCCTGAGTCTATATACACAGCTTGAGCTAGCCTGTCAAATGTTTATCTAATTCATATCAAAGACCCACATAGGGAGGTTGGATTTCAGTGCTGTGCTGGTTAGAATAGCATTGAGACACCTAATAACAGAATGACTTCAGGATTAAGAGTGTGACATGCATTTACAGAGAGAAAACACAACAGCATGCAAGAAAAGCTTAAAAAGTTCAACCTTTTTCTGTTACATCAGCACAATTCAAGCCATACTAAAATATTAATGCTTACAATTTTTTAAGTACAGTTCTATGTTTGAAAGTGACTTTTTTCAAAAAGAGTTTTTTCTTGTGATGCGAGGGCATAAACTTTCTGACATTTAACACACAGAGTTACAAAGCAGGTCTGTCACTCTGTTTGGATCAACTAGGAGCAGTTTTTCGGCAAGAGTCCCGTGGAGAAAAAATGCCTTGCATGTTTTATCCATCACTATTTCTTTTAAACTCAAAACCAAAGACATTCCTCATTCTGTGGGAAAGTTAGGACACTGTTTGAACTTAAAAATGTTAAAATTTAAGGAATGGTTGCCTATGCAGTGATGATTATTGTTATGGTGAAATAACTGAAAAGAACAGGAAACAATATCCAGGATTTTATCCTGAATGTGTGTGTTCCTTTTTTTGTTTGAATCTTTTTTTAATTGGCTCAAGATGAACTAAGCCTCCAATTTATTAATACAGGATATACGCGAACACCTGGTATCATCACTATTTGATAGTGATTCGTAAACACATGCTTGTGATATATAGCTGGAATTGTACAATAGGCTCTGCTTTTAGCAGAGATTTATTACGAATGTGGAAAGGGTTTTGTCGCTTTTATTTGTATCTTTTTATTAAAATATATCAATGCTACTGTTGGGCTTTAAAGAGTATATGTGTGTTGGCAACATTTATGGTTTTTCCAGCCGTTAATGTCTGTATATGGCTAATTTACTTTATGACGAAAACGAGCAAGTGCTAGACCTTGAGCTAGTGATCTTTTACCCCTCGCCTACTGTGGGATGAATAAAAGCTGACTCAGCTCTATACAAGTGTCGCTTTAGATAGTTCAGGTTACTTTGATGTCTACGTCAAACATTAAGTTGGTCGCATTTCAATACATTTTTTCCTTCACAAATACGCCATGGGTTAGAGTATGTAATGATGTATGTTCGTAAGATCTGTACAGACATAGAGAGCCAGGACCCTAGCGGGGGATCAGGCTTTTGTATTTGTCATTGCATGAAGTAGCCCTCCTCTGCGGAACCTACCCCATACCTGACCGGCCGGTCTGTCGCTGTGTGCTGGTGTTGACTTTGTTATTTGTAGATGTGAGTAGATGTGAACAAACAGTGGCAGCACTACAATCCAATGAATCATATGTTTGACAGACAGCAATGTGAGTCATTGGTCCAGGTAGACAAGTCATTGACACCTCTGTTGTCTAATTGCGCTGTAAGGGAATTGAGAATTGCTGAGCCATATTAGGGAATGCCACTGGCCAGTGTATGGCAGTGTTCTGCAGGTGCCAGTCTTTTGACCAACTATCATAGCACAGTAACTCAGGGGCATGTTTTTTGCTTGTAGACTCAAGTGAAGGAATTAGTCTCATGTGTGTAACTATAACAGAACAAAAACAAGTTTGGGTCATTGACCAGACAATATAGATATATCCTAATTCCTTCACTTAGTCTTTAACAGACTAATTATATATTATTGTGTCATTGACCAGACAATATATAGTATTGTGTCATTGACCAGACAATATATAGTATTGTGTCATCGACCAGACAATATAAATATATCCTTATTCCTTCACTTGAGTCATTAACAGACTAATTATATATTATTGTGTCATTGACCAGACTATATATAGTATTGTGTCATTGTCCAATCAATACACAGGTATATGATTATGTCATTGGCCATACAATATATAGCATTGTGTCTTTGATCGGACTATATATAGGATTGTGTCTTCGACCGGACTAATCATATATGTATATATATATGATTGTGTCTTTAATCAGACTATATATATGATTGTGTCTTTGACCAGACTAATTATGTATGTATGTATATATAGGATTGTGTCTTTGACCAGACTTATTATATATGTATATATATAGGATTGTGTCTTTGACCGGACTAATTATATATATATATATATTTAGGATTGTGTCTTTGACCAGACTAATTATATATGTATATATATATAGGATTGTGTCTTTGACCAGACTTATTATATATATATATATATATTTAGGATTGTGTCTTTGACCAGACTAATTATATATGTATATATATATATAGGATTGTGTCTTTGACCAGACTAATTATATATGTATATATATATAGGATTGTGTCTTTGACCAGACTTATTATATATGTATATACATATATAGGATTGTGTCTTTGACCAGACTAATTATATATGTATATATATATAGGATTGTGTCTTTGACCAGACCAAATATATATGTATATATATAGGATTGTGTACAAGTGTTACAACCAAACACTCAGAAATGGAGACCAATCATTGGCCCAGTCTTGATTCATTTGTCTCCTCTGCCCAACTTTAATTTTGTTATTTGTCTACAGTCATTTAGGACAGAAGTTGTATATCTAAGAGAGATTTGCCTCCCAAGATCTGGTAGTATCGACCCACCCCTGTACTCCAGCCTTCCCTGTAATCAGCTGCCCTAAGCTCATCAATACTTATGGTGTCGGATAATCTGAGATAAGACCTCTAATCCTACTGCTACAGATTACTGATCACCACCAGGACAGGGGCACAGGTGGAGCAAGCACTTTCTATGGAGATTTTGAAGAGTGTCATAATGTTCTTGCTTAAAGTGTGTTAAATAGGATTACAACATTCAAGGCTAAAGTAATGCTTTCAAAAAGTTTTATAGTAGACATTTGGGGGACAATTCCTAATTTGAAACATCTGTGACAAAAGAAATGTGTAACGCAATTCCCTATTGTGGCTTGTACTGATGTTCCTGTGTGTTTTAAGGTTAACAATTGCCATGCCTTTGCATGTGTTTGTGATGGATGCCACCAGTGGGGCAGGATACGCTCACCCTGTCGTGAACAACTGGCGTCATTACTACTTGATAGTTATTCATGCTTATGATGAAGTCAGAATTGTACAAGGGACTTTTAGCATAGATCTCTTATGATTATGGAAATTATTTTTCTTGCTTATATTTAGGTCAGTGTTTGTACCTGTGTATCAGACAGTGTGCATATGATATGACATGCAACCACCTGGTCTTGTGTAGAGGGTTGTTGCTTACCAGAGGAAATGCCCCTCGAGGTTAACAGTGCTGAGCCTCATGCTGCCTACCCTTGTCTTCGAATGGTCCCAGTTTGACTTGTTTATGCAGAGAACATGGAATGAGATGTGTCTCTCTGATGCTAGTGTAAGGTGTCCACTGGTTTCAGAACACTATTGATATATGTCATGGAATTACAACTGATAGTACTGTGCATTGACGTTTGGATTAGAGGAATATCAGAAACCAATATGAGTACTATATCCCAATCTTCAGCAACCCATGCTTGCCGTAAAAGGCGACTATGCTTGTCGTAAGAGGCGGCTAACAGGATCGGGTTGTCAGGCTCGCTGACATGGTTGATGCATATCATCATGTCCCAATTGCGTGGATCGATGCTCATGATATGAATCACTGGATTGTCTGGTCCAGACTTGATTATTTACAGACCGCCGTCATATAGCTGGAATATTGCTGAGTGCGACGTTAAACAAAAAACAAACAAACTATGTCCAAAATGCCTTGCTACTTATGTACTTGTGCATGCATCTTTCTCACAGCCTTCATATAAACGTGTGATATATGGGTGCATGGCATACATATAATGTGTGATAAATGGCCGTACAGCATACACATAAATATGTCTGATACATGGCCATACAGCATGCACATAAATATATGATACGTGGTCTCTGTCATGTATATGATGACATGGCGGCACATGGTCCCGTGCACAGCGCACAGGTCACAAATCAGGTGAGTTAAGCAACGTCAGTCTCGTAGAGTAGTTGGATGGGTGACCGCGTTGAGGAGCTTGACTCCTGAGTGAGTGAGTGAGTTGGGTTTAATGCCGCTTTTAACATTATTCCAGTTATATCACGGTGCGTCAGCTTTATGTGGGAGGAAAGCCCGAAGTGATGCAGGTCCTAGACGTTTACCACTTCGGTGAAACCCACGAGTATGGTGCTGACAAACCTAGAACCATAATTGGGGTGAACTGGGATTTGTACCCAAATCATAGGTTTCTGGCATGCCCAAGGGACGCAACTCTGCACCGTGAATCACGACACCTTAGACGACTGGGCCACCCGTGCCCCCTGACTCCTGAGAGTTTGTTTAACATCAGTCCTGCCCCACACTGTAGCACAGGTGGTGTTTCCTTAGACAAGTGACGTTGTTTGGAAATGTGCCTCTGTTCACCCAGCAGTGAATGGGTACCCAGTAGGATGAGATGGCAAGGTAATTGTTAAACTTCTAGCGCCCCAGGCAGCTTGGGTTGCATACTCCCCAGGGAGCTGAGAATGAAATTTGAGTGCACACTGATCCACTGACTGGGGTAATAATAGTGTAGCACTAAGAGCCACACGTGAATGAAATTTGGCGCATTATAAATGCACATATTATTTTTGAAACAAGTCTGTACAGCATACCTATTAAGCATACAAGAACCACCAGTGCCGTAGCCAGAAAACATTTTTCCTTGTGAAAGTAACTTGAACAAAAAATGAGTAATCTTATTTGCCCCCCCTGTCAAAAAAAGTTAACTACGGCCTTGACCACAGAGCATCTTCCCGAGGCAAGTGAGTTAACTG